AGACAGACAAAAAAGAAAAACATCTCACAAAATAGAAAACACAACTGCTCTGACTAGTGCTACAAAGGACAGGAACATGGTGCTCCAGGGATGGATAAGACGACGCATTTGGCAGATACTGGGTGGTCATAATTTGTTTTCTGTGGTCTGTCTTTGGCCTTGTACAAGATGTCAAAGACTTAGAGAGGAAGGACAGACAGAGGGCAGATTGGAAAGACTGGAGAGGAGCAGAGTTGGCAGGGCAAAATGTTGCATAACACAAGATGGCCACAGGGAAAAGAAGAAAGAAAAACCTAACTTGAACAGTGTAGCACATTTAATAAGTCCTTGGATATATCACTTTATCGTAGAAGAATAGCAATATTTGTAATAACTACAGTTTTTTCAAGGAAAGTTATTACATATTCATTCTATTCAACTCGGTAAAAGAGGAGCAACATAATAAATTTAGAGTGGTTTCCATTAACATGGTTAAAGTATTTTTTGTTTAAAAGTTTATGTGTCAGTTTTATGGCAGTTTGTCCAAAGTATTGGATAAATGAGATTATTGCTGTCATTTATACAGTATTTTAAAGGCAACAAGAATAGTAATTGCAAAAACATTTCTAGATAGGAATATAGTAAGACCCTGGTTTCTGATTTGAACTGGTGGCCAGGCCCTGGTTAAATAATAATTGAGAAGATTCTATTTACCTTAGTGAAAATGGGATAATAGCATTTTTCCTGTCTACTTGGGAAGGTTTTTTTCACACCCATTTATTCAATTAATATTTATTGTGAACCCACCACTGTATATTGGGAATATAGTGAGAAGCAAAGGAGACATGATCTTAGACCTCATGGAACTTACAATTCAATGAGAGAGACGAACATGCATGTACCATGTATCTTTATTTTTGCCCTTCCCTTGGCCTTCACTGCTGTTCCCTAGTGTGCTCACAGCATGCCCCCTCACTTCAGTTGGGTCTCTGCTCAAATGTCACCTCTTTGGAGAACTACCCATTGTCTCCACCCATTCAGGTCACTCTACCTCTATCCCTTGCTTTACTTTTCTTCCCACTTTTTATCACCATCTGTCATTGTTTTACATTGTTGGTTATCATTTGGTCTAAGACTTAAGTGTAACAGTCCTTTACACAAAGACTTTGTCTTTTCTGCTCATTGGTATACACTATTTAGAATAGTGCTTGGCATATTACAGGCGCTCAATAAATATTTACTGAATGAATGAGTAACTGAGATGATCACAGAGGCATATAATTAGCAACTATGATAAACAAATGGAATGAGTGAGAGTACTTTCAAAACTATAAATATTCCCTACATGCAAGGTGATGATGTTTATTTGAGTTTTAGAAAAAAATGTAATGTGCCAGAAGAAAACCTGTTTATTTTTTATATTGGTAGCTTTCAATGTAAACATTTATTTCCTAAGAGTTGCTCTTCCTTTGTATCCGTGCTTTGTAATATTGAGCTCTGTCTTTATGGTTCTGTAACCTCCTCCTCCCCAGTTCAGTTGCTCTCGAGAGTAGAGCTTCTTAACCTGGGTTGATGACCTTTGTGAAATCCACTGTTGGCTCTTGAGGCCTCATGTATTCCTGGAAATTGTATGCAACGTGTAGTGGCCCCTGTGTATTTTACTGGAGAGAGTTTTCATAACTGTCTTTAGATTCTTGGAGTATATGACCGCCCCCAAGTTTAAAAATCATGGCTTTAAAATTTTTTATTTATCTTTTACTTTTTGTTGCTCTATTGGCATTTCTTTTTCTCTTCAAGATGGTTTTGTTTTCCTTTTAATTTTCATGATTGTATTTTGGTGTTTTTAAATGTTTACTGTCTACTTGTCCCTAGTGTGTGGTATTCTTGGTTTATTGTATGCATCTGATCTCAGCTCTTTTCTCTGTCTCTTTTTTGTCGGGCCAACAGTGTGGGGATGTGCCAACTGCAGGGTTGTCCTATCCAACCCTTCTGGGACCTTTACTTCTCCGTGCTACCCTAACGACTACCCTAACAGCCAGGCTTGCATGTGGACGCTCCGAGCCCCCACCGGCTACATCATTCAGATAACGTTTAATGACTTTGACATTGAAGAAGCTCCCAATTGCATTTATGACTCGTTATCCCTTGATAATGGAGAGAGCCAGCCTAAATTTTGTGGAGCAACTGCCAAAGGCCTATCATTTAACTCAAGTGTGAATGAGATGCATGTGTCCTTTTCAAGTGACTTTAGCATCCAGAAGAAAGGTTTCAATGCCAGCTACATCAGAGGTATGTAAACCAAAGGCGACGCCAACCTTCTGCTTTCATTTAACATGTTCTACAATAAACACAAGGAAAGAAGACAGAGTTATGCTCTTTTATGTGGATGTGAATGATTAGGATTAGGCTTTAAGGGCAAGAATCTGTTAATATTCTCTGAGCATTCTCAT